AGACCCATCTTACGTGAGGACATTGGCCGACTGCTACAGGAATTGCGCTACAACGGTACAGCTTTTCCATTCCCTTATCATACCAATCTCGAAGGGGGTTCGACAAGGCGAGACCGTGACGTAAAAGTTGTCGTCAAAGCTGTTTACCACCGCATTGCAGTAGGTGATAAAATTACTGGATTGGAACGAGAGATATACGAGTTGATGGGAGATTCCTCTCGAACCTTCGTTTTGCGGACGACATTGTTCTCTTCTCAAGAAATATCACTGAAGCGGAGACGATGTCGAAGGAAATAAACGAAGTAGGGGAGCGCATAGAACTGCGAATTAAGCGGTAGAAGACTCAGTTTATGAAGAACGCTATTTGCGAGAATCAGGAAATGGAATTAGAAGACTTTCCAATAGCGGAGACGTCTTCTTATGTGTATCCCGGGCGTTCGATGAACAGGGGAACTATCTGAAAGAAGAACGGAGGCAGAGCAGCTTGCGCCGCCTTCGGACCCCTTAAGGAACACAGACCAGCTGACGGATCCAGAGCTCCGAGCCCACCTGTTGGATTCAACCGTTCTCCTTGCGCTCTGTTACGCAGCAGAGACGTGGCCTGACACTGTGGCTACGTCAAAGGCTCTTCAAACAACCCACAGAGCGCTGGAACGACGTCTTCTGATGTACAACCGACGCAATCAATCTCGTCGGACTTCGCAGTTCAAATATGAAATTAATGTCTCGTCTTCGCGATCCAGCGGAATACGTCTCTAAGGTAAAGCATCGATGGGTTGGTCATATAATGAGGAGGACATGCTAAGAACTCTAAAATGTTCCTCGCGAAGCAAAACGTCCTCGAGAGAGGCCACCCAAGATGGGCTAATGCGTTCATTGCACGGATGACCAGCTGAATTCTCAGCCGGTAACGAGTAATCGATCTGGACTTCGCGAACGTCGCTGCCGCAGTTTAATACCAACATCGTGGATGACGCTAGCGAGAAACAGAAACGGATGGAAATAGTGCTGTGGCCTGCACGACAAGTGAAGACAGGCCATCTAAGTATTTAAGTATCTAAATGCTCTAAGCCCTTTTTATCTTAAGGCTTAGGTTTCTTTGTCTTAATTTCAAGCAGTGTTACTTGTAGTCTACTAAACCCCAGTTGTCGAGTCGAGTGAAAGAACTGCACATCTTTTACTCAACTCTACAACTGATCTGCTTTGAAGCTTTATTCAAAAGCTATGACCTATATTTGGTTATGTTATTCAATCTGTAGAGAATGATAATCGCCTCATTCCGTTCTTAGCAAAATGAACTTGTGCTGAGCAGAATATTGTCAGCACCACCAAACATCTAATCACCGTATATATAGTTTAAACTGCTCAGGTACACATACTCTGTACAGACACTAGATTTGTGCTTAGAATAACTTTCTTCAAACTTTTTATTAGAGAGCAATAAGTGGTTTCTTACCTTGGTATAGCCTTGTAGAGACTTTACATTCGAATAATGCACTCGTCACGGTATTACCGTAAACTGACTTAGGTAAACTATAATTTCTACTGCCCTTTAACTAGAGAATAT